TCCCAAAGTCTACGAGTTAACGTCTACGTGGGAGGACCCGAAAGCTTCGAAAATGCCTAAAAGTTACCCGAACGCAGGGCAGCGTTGACACAGAAATTTGCTGGCTTTGAAGTTGACTTCTAGTTAATTTATTAAATCTAAAATAACTAAAAAGGCACAGCAGTCTTCCTTAGTTAGCGGTAATGGCGTCAATGGGTACTAGCTTACTTTTGTATGCAATGTTTTTAATTAGAATTTTCAAAACAGCACTCGTTTCCCTTAATCAAAATGATTGCGTAGGAACATTTCTCAACGCCCCCTCCCACAGTTAAACAAGGCTTGGTTATCATTTTTTTTTTAAATTTCCTTTAATCTAGTGAACGGACTCGGTAATGGCTTCGGCAGACTGGCAGAGCAAAATACTAAAGACAGAATACCAAAACTGGTTGGCGGTTGGTCACGCCCTTTCACTGATGTTGGATGGTTTGAGACCTTACATCGAGCGAGAAATGAAGGCTTTTCATCAGGTTTTACTGGCGAATCTCGCTACAGTGCCCCGGTGTACGTGTTCTACACCGACCAAGCACTCTTGCGCATGGTCTGCACAATTGGTGAGGTGCCACAGAGGAGGCAAACCAAGTTCACCAAAATGGTATCAAAGTGATTCTTCAGCATGGACAGACCCTCATCGTGGAGAATGGGAAGTGGCCAAGCTTTTCATGTCTGATTTAGGCACCAGTAAGACTACTGTGGTGGACGCAAATACCACTGACTGTACGGGCCTTATTAACCTCATGTTTTGGTGTGTTCATTTTCCCATCCAACGACACGTTATTGAAGCTGTCCGGGAGACGCGAAACACCAAATGGGGCCACGCTCCAAGGCAAGAGCTCACCGACAGTGAAAGAGCAGATGCTTTAACTGCGATCCGAGATCTCCTTCAAGATCCGGAGCTAATTGCCGACGGTGATGCGAAAACCGCCCTAAATGAAATAACATTAATGGAGGCGAACTTTGATGCGCAAAGTGTAGAAAGAAAAGTCCTTGCTGACTTTCAAGTTGCGGTTCTTGGTCAATTGGGAGATATTGAAGGTGAATTGAGAAATGTTAACAGATGCTGCAAAGAGCAACAAAATAACAGCAACAAAATACAAAAAAAACTTCGCGGCCTAGAAAATCGACAAAAGAAAGCGATTGAGCTCTTACAAAGTAATAATGACAGGATAGAAGACGAGGAGAGAAGAAATATTTCGTTTACCAGCAAAACGTGGAAAGCTATAACATGGACTCTCAATAAAACTAAAAGAGGTTTTGTTGTTAACCTCTGCAGTTTGAGCACGAGGTCTCTGTTATTTTGGACATTTCTTATTATTCTGCTCGGCTGTTTTAAATGTCTGGACCACAACTCTTATAATGATGGTAAGTTTCGCCTTTAATTACAACGTAACTGTCCCTTTTATTGATAGTGATGCAACGTTGTGTCTAATTACTTCAATTTTTATTAAAGGTGGGGCGGGGGAGGGGGGGGGGCGAAGATCCGTATACCCGTGCCAATGTTTAGTAATGGGAATCAGTATATTTACTGATTTGAAAAAACAGAAGAAACAATGTAGAACTTTCATCTGCAGAGAGTTTATGACCAAATGACTTTCACGTTTTGATAAAAAAAAGCTTAGTATTATTTAAATGAAATTAGCGGGTAGGTGAACTTAAATGGTTTCATTTGGCTACGGGACACCCGCCAATTACAAAACAGAACACAACGGCGATAAAAACACTCGTAAAGCCTAAGATTTTATAATGAACCTCCCTCTAAAAGAGGTTTTGAAAAGTTAGGGTGGTTAAGTTCAGTAATGGAAAATTTCACTGCAACCCGTTCAAATTATTCAATTCACACTCAAATTAATCTTCGCACATCCTTGAACTCTTTCGCCATTTTCTTGTCGTGAGTTCCGCGCTCATACCAAATAAAAGAACTGAGCCGCCGTGCCTTCGTCTTAGGTGACGGCAATGATTGTTTATTTGCAATATACTGACACTATGATTTACCATTAAAAAAAAAATATGTGAAGATGTACCGGTAACGTTTTGCACATGCTATGTACTGTTTACTTGCATGCAGTACCATATTTTTCACCAAAAGTCGCTAAATAGTAAAAGACATTTCCCATCACTTACGAATGCCTCATTTTACTAGGTTGCCCATTGGAAGTTGGAGATGTCCCATTTGACACAAAAGAGTTCAATTTTACAAGGTATCTGAATAAATCTCGGGAGCACTTCACAGGGCGGCGTTGGCTTTATAGTGAACTAGAGTCTATTTTGTCGGACTCACAAGGCACCATCGTGCGTGGGGTTGTGGTGATCGGTAAGCCAGGGGTTGGAAAATCTGCCTTAAGCGCACAATTGATTTGTTCACGAGCATCCAGCCCTTACATTCACAAGAGAATTATTGGTTATCACCTTTGCAAGTACTCAGACAAAGCCACTCAAGATCCCGGTCTCTTTGTTCGCAACTTAGTCGACTTGATAGCCAGAAGGATTCCTGAGTACGGAATGCTGATTTATAACAGTTCGTTCATTCCGAGAGTTCTTCAAACAAGTTGCTTGCGAGATCCCTATGACTGTTTTGAACAAGCTATTGTCATTCCATTGAGACAGGTACAGAACGAACGTCAATATCACTTTATAATTATAGATGCCTTAGACGAATGCGCCTCTGATAGCACTTGGACTGCTTCGTTAGTACAATTTGTGAAGGACACTTACAATAGACTTCCGAAATGGGTACGTCTTGTGATGACGTCACGTAATGACTCCGCTGTATTGGGTCATTTCGACAGTTTTCCCAAGGTGCACCTGTCTTCTTCAGATGCGAGAAACTTGCAAGACATCGAAATTTTTATAGCTTCAAAGTTATTTGAAGATACACCATTCCTTGAACGAGCAAAAGTTATTTTAGGCCTCGGTAGCAGTGACGAAGTCACTTATCTGACAAACAAGCTATTGACTCAAAGTGAAGGAAACTTTTTATTTGCAAAATTAATGCTTCAGTACGGAAAAGATGACTGGCACAATCAGGCTGATCTGAACAAGCTCCCGAAAACAGTGGGTGAACAATACAAGAGATACTTGAGAAGAGCTTATGGATCGAGGGAGAAGTTTAAACCTGCACTTGCAATATTGGAAATCCTAGTTGCTACCTTTGAACCCCTGAAGGCAAATCATATGTTTGACGTTTTACGCATCCAAGAAAAGATGGACTTCGAGTACGACTTTGTTTATGCTCTCAAAGGACTTTCGCATTTTGTTACTTATGGGGAGGACAATACCATTATTTTTTTTCACCAGACTTTTAGAGAATGGTTGACGAGTAAGGACAACCTTGGGAGTCCGTATTATGTAAGCAGGAGTCGAGGGCACAGACGTTTGGTGGAATATTATATCAATGGCCTGAGAAACAATTCAAATTCCTCAATGGACATTTATCGCTTAGCACAGCACATAAGCTTTGGTGAAGAGGCTGACAACTATCTCGATGAATTCAGGAATATCAACGCTAGCTACATTAATGCAACCATTGACAATGACAAACGCACTCTTCTCCATCTTTCTGCCTCTAAAAATAACAGAAAGGCTCTTCGGATACTTAGTGAAGCATTCGAGGAAATCGACTGTGAGGACAGCTATGGATTTACCCCAGCATTTGTTGCAGCAATGAACGGTCGGGCAGAAAACGTCGACTTTCTCTTAAGTAAGGGGGCCAATATAGAGCATCGAACAAAGGCACCTCCACCACCAAGCTACGTCTGGGGTGATCCAATTGAAAGATCTAAGACATCTTTCTGGAATTCTACAATGATGCATGCTGCGGCCTCGGGTGGTCATACTGATGTTGTACGCTTGTTGCTGAGAAGTAATGCTTCATTTATGGACGTAAATGGTGTTAACTTGACAACGATTCAACTGGCGGCACAGAATGGACACTTGGAAGTTGTTCAGGTGTTGCACAAACACGGAGCACAGTTAGATCACTTATCTCTTCAGTATGCCGCCTTTGAAGGCCACGCAAATGTAGTCGCGTATTTATTAAAGTTTGGCGTAGAAGATACCTGCAAGCGATGTGATGGTTCCTTTTACTGGCTCCAAAACCGAACGCGATATCAGGCGGTAAGGCTTGATTATTCACGCGATGCCGTTTTGTCGGACGACAAGTTTAAGATTTTCTGTCAGAGTGCGTTGCACCTAGCAGTTGCTAAAAATCATACCAAAGTTGCACAGCTGATCCTCTTGCAGGAGTATAGGACAGTGCATTGCACCGACTTTACAGGTAGAACTCCTCTCCATGAAGCTGTTAGGCAAAACCATGTTGAGATGGCAGAGTTGCTTATGAAGGGTGGAGCAAAAATTTCTCACAAATGCAGTCGATTCCAGAATCTATCTTTCGTCGATGACGAATGTCAATTGAGTTTCGAAGAAAGAAAAGACTACAGTAAGGATATATGCCATTGTGGTTCGACTCCCTTTCATCTGGCTGCAAGGTATGGCCACCTTGAAGTAGGAAACTTGCTATTACGCCACGGGGCGAAGTCCGACAGCATGGACTGCCAAGGGGCTACACCTTTACATGTAGCTGGATGTCATGGACATTACTCATTTATTAGATGGCTTATTTCTCAAAGGCCATCTCTTCATATTAACACAAGAGGTAAAAACCAGTCTACATTACTACACAGTGCTACTATTTGTAAGAACAATCAGAGAGTCCAACCCTTGATTGAGATGGGAGCTAGCATTTACGACACTGATCAGCACGGAATGACTCCACTTCACTACACTGTGCTAAATACTTTTGAAAATGCTGACAGTGTATTTTTTCAGGCCTCTGAATGGTTAGACGAGCCTATTATCGTTTGGGGGTTAAGGGGTGATTTTACTTTTGCGCAAGATTCAAAACCAATCAGAAGGCAAGTGCCTTTAAATTTTCAATGCTTAAAACTGTTAGAGCTAACCGAATCGACAGATGCTTCCTTCATTAACCAAGTTGATGAAAATGGTACAACAGCTCTACACCTTGCAGCCAAAAATGGCGAAGAGTGTTGTGTCGTGGAGCTTTTAAAGAAGGGAGTGCGTAGAGACTTAACAGACAATAAAGATAGAACTGCATTAGATGTAGCCATCGAATTCACACCAGACGAGTTATTTACTGAAGGCTGTGGAGAGTGTTTAGCCGGAATTGAAGAAGATTTCGATTTTTCTCGGGCATTGAATCTGAGGTATCATAACTCTGTGGTTAACATTCTGCTGTCAACGGAGGCCTGTTTTCCACAAAAATGCGAGGGAACACAGACCTATCCCTTACACCGTGCATTTGAGGAAGGGAAACCATTCATTGCTGATATTATTCTTTCAAAGGGTGGTCTTCTTAGCTGTAAAGATAAACAAGGACGGACCCCTCTTTTAATCTACTTACAGAATGGAGGCAAGTGGCTTGACGTTGTCTTGAAACGCTTCAATGTAACTATAACAATCGAATGTAACAAACACTTTAACGTTTCTGAGTTCCATTTAGTAGCATTCAGGAAAGCGACAGCGTCATCAGAAAACCTTCTGGAGCAACACAAGTGTGACTCACATGAGTGTTACATAGAAGATGGCCCCCTCGCAAAAGCTATTAAGAACCATCCCTTAGGGTTTCGTGTGATCGACGAATGTCGTGACGCGGAGGGATACACAGCTTTGCATCGAGCCGCTCAAGGAGGAAACTTGCTAGTGCTTAAAAGGTTTGTTTCGTGGGGAGCCAATCCGACTCTTCTGACCCCTCAAGGGTACAGTGCTTTACAGCTGGCCATAGTCTCCAGTATTAGTCCTTTCAGTTTATTTAATGCGAGAAGAATTGCAGAGAAAGCTGCGGAAATCTTGCTTGAAGCTCAATTAAGACGTTTTTCCACTATTGATGTTGGATGCAACAGTGCTTCGATGAACCTGACAATATATCACTTATCTGCCTATGGAGGACTAGTTGGGTTTGTCAAGACACTGTTAAATAATAAACACTTTCGTGGTGTTGATGTGAACTGCTCAAATGTGCACGGGATAACGCCTTTATACCTTGCTAAATTGTACGTTGGAACAAAATATGTAAGCCAATTTAAAAGGGACCCATGGCAGGAACTTGCCAATTTGATTCAGGAGCATGGAGGCAGGCTTACCTATCCAAATCGAGAGGTAGAACTAAATGTACTTTACAAACATTTATATGGTGGCCATCTTAATCGCTTCTCTTTGGATCAGTCGGAATTACCCAATGAACGTTTCTACAAGAGTGTTGTTACCCAGTGTAGGCGACAAGACATGGATTATTACAGAACCGGAACTGTGACAAACCCTTATGAAGTACCTCTTCATGATAAAATAAGGTGGTTAACATCTGTACCTGCCCCACAAAATAATTTCTTAGTGGTACCTCGAGATTTCTCCCAACTGCAGACTGCCTCTGATACTCTTCATGCCGTCAGGAAATTTCTTTTGGATATGTCCAGTTTATATGATGATGTTTTGGCAGGGCTAGAAAGAGCGAGAAGAGAGAGTAAACGAAGACGTAAAGAGGCTAAATTGTCGATACCTCTTGCCATCACATCTGCAAAAATAGACTTGCCTTTGAAGAGGACAGTATTTCATTCAGAACAAATTATACGAGAGACCCGTTTTCTGCACGAATCAGCAAATGCAATTATGTCTCACAGAAACAAATACCTCAAACAGATCTTACGTAAACATAGCAACGTTCTTGAAGACACCGCTGCTGTTGATCTTCTTGAAAAGTACGAGGAAAGTAACTTGTGCATGGATGAGATATTTCAAGCCGAATTTATGATTCATAAGTTTCGCAATTATATTCTTAAATCTCAAGTAGACGACGTTTTAAATTTAATGCGAAACTCACTCCACAAAGCTGAATTCATATCTCAAAGAATTCCAGCGGAATGGAAAATGACAGATGAAGAAAAAGGAAGAATACCAATGTGGAACGACGCTGTTAAGTTTCTTTACCAGCAGGCAACTCAGAGGGATTTGACATTTGATTACCTTGCGGTCCTCAGTTTAGGATTGGACAAGGACACTCGCATTCCACTGAATGCGGACGCGTTGATTACCTGAATTTGATAAAGAGAAAACCGAACCACATTCTACACGTAATCTGCGATTAGGCGGAATTTGAGCTTTCAAACATTCTCTCACGTGGTTTGGTCTGGAATTTTATTTACCCCAGCAAAAAGGGAATAGAGCCTGATCGTCGGTCATCGATTTAACAAACATCTATATAACGAAAACCTTGGTATAACGGACGATTTTCTTCAGCCCGGCCAAAATTGCTCAGCAGTAAATTGTACGGAACAGAACCTCGATAAAACGAACCTCGATTTAACGAAATTCTGATTAAAACGAACACAATCCAGAAGTGAAATTGTAAAATGTACCTCCATGTAACGAATATATGTCAACATGTGACGAAAATTG